TTTTATGTCATTTGTTCCAGGTGGTAGATACGAGAACTTTTCTAGTCCGCCCCAACAGTGGGGACAAAAGCCCCAGGGCTTCGGAGATTATCAGAATCCAGTCCCTCCCAGTTACAACGATTATCACCAGGGCCCTGGTTTCGGATCATATCAGCAGTCATATGGTGGAGGCCCAATGCGAGGTGGACAGCCAAATTATCGAGGATCTCAACCTTATGGAAGACGTTAAATTGTTTCATACTTCATTCTTTTTATATTTGTTGTCTTTGAAAATGTGTGTTAATCTAACTATTTGCATTTTATTTGCTCTCGCTCATCTTTGCTTCTTATTTGACAATGGGTCTTACTCGTTAGCACAGCTGTGCTCCCAATTTTCCTTTTTTTATCGACATTCAAATTTTCCACCTTCGGGCTACCTAGCTAGCACCCACATTGCCACCGGTCTGCTGCTGCCGGTTACCTACCCAGCATCCGAAATGGACCCTCATTTGTAGTCCGACCCGCTTCATATTTTTCGTAAACGGTTGGGCGGTATTGCAGCAGCATTCTTTGTATGTGCAGATGGGGTCGACCACATGCGACAGAACAGGACTGTGCTCAATGTATTCGTACTTCGTCGGTGGCGCGTTAACGTTGATTTGCTCTACTATCCCCGATCTGGGCGATGCCGGCTAGGCAGGTTCGCCGTTTACATATAGGTTTGCCTTATCGATTATTGTCAGCGTCCCAGGTGTTGGTGATCAGCAACGATTTAAAAAGCAGTAATAATTTATTGAAAACAAAACAAAATAAAATATTAAATATAGGTTGGTTTGATTAAAATAGTCGCGGTTCGGGGCCTCTTCATCTCTTTGCCGCGACGCGTATGTTCCGCCGGGGCCTCGTTTCCCTGAATAGTAGAGTGGGGTGTAGAAGGAGGTTAAGAACATGAGGTGGATGTCATCTGCACTCGATAATATTCCGAATTAGGTTGTGGCGCCTCGATTGATCGGGGCTCAATTCGGGCTTGGTGCAATAATTTCAGGAAAAATTTAGCCAAGCTTTTGCTCTTCAAAAATGTTTAAAATCAACCCTGGGTTTAATTAGGTTCAAATAACACTGGTTTAGCCCCCAATTAAATTAGTCTATCCTATTTCTATCTCTAATACTAAGTCGATAACTTGCCGTGTCCTAGTCTCTTGTGCGCCAACCGACAAACGTGGTTC